TTAGAGCACTTGGGTTTTAAGTAGGTACTTAATGTTGTTGTTTCTAAGTTATTAAAAGAAGATACAAAAACCGAGGAATGGGATATCCCTGGTGATCCCTCAGAGAACAGTAAAAGGGAAGGAAATAACTGATATATGTGTAACTTTTCTGAAAATCCTAGGTTGAAATTTAATGAAAAGAGTAGCCCTTATAACCAAATAAAGCAAAATATATGAAGCTCAAGAATCAGGAAATACCATAAATTCAAGTGTATACATACATCTGTGAGTGGGCTTCTCTGCTTATTGATATGACACAACTGCCAGACATTGAAAAAAATTCCCTCTCAGGCCTGGGCACAGTGGCTCATGCCTGTAATCCCAGCACTTTGGGAGGCTGAGGCACGCGGATCACTTGAGGTCAGGAGTTTGAGACCAGCTGGCCAACATGGCGAAATCCCATCTCCACCAAAAATACAAAAATTAGCCAGGCATGGTGGCTCACACCTGTAATCCCAGCTACTCAGGAGGCTAAGACAGGGGAATCGCCTGAATGCAGGAGGTGGAGGTTGCAGTGAGCCGAGATTACACCACTGTACTACAGCCTGGGGAGCAAAGTGAGACTCCATCTCACGAAAAAAAAAGAAAAAAAAAAAAAGGAAAAAGGAAAATTCCCCCTCAGTAGGTCCTTCTTAAGATTTGATCCTCTCATTCCTGAAACCTGGGAGGCGGAGGCTGCAGTGAGTCAAGATCACACAACTGCACTCCAGCCCAGGTGACGGAGCAAGACTCCATCACAATTGAAGCAAGACTCCATCACGTTGAAGACACCTCACCCTTCAATATCCAGTGTATCCTCATTTTCCTTGGGTGCGGTACAAGAGCTTGGGAACCGCTGAATGTGGTACAAGCTAACACAGGTGAGCTGGGGCACGCCAGCATAGCCAAGTGAGGCCAGGATGGGGCATTCCCAGCCAGAGGTCCCTGGCTTGCAAAGTGACTAAGAAGAAAAATCCGACACCACCAGCACTTTGGGAGGCTGAGGCAGGAGGATCACTTGAGTCTTGAGTCTAGGAATTCAAGACCAGCCTGGCCAACATGGTGAAACACTGTCTCTACTAAACATACAAAAATTAACCAGGCGTGGTGGCGCATGCCTGTAATCCTAGCTACTTAAGAGGCTAATGTGGGAGAATCGCTTGAATCTGGAAGGTGGAGGTTGCTGGAAGGTGGAGGTTGCAGTGTGCCAAGATTCCACCACTGTAAACAAACAAACAAACAGATTTGATCCTCTCTTCTACTCACCTTCTCGCTCTGCCATGCCCTGCTTTGATAAGACACTTGCCATTTCCCCCAGCTAGCAGGCCTGGCCTACAGAGGAAGGCAGCACGCAGCTTGCTTTGTCTGGCTCTCTGAACACCCCATGGCCTCAACCCAGGGGTCCATGCAGGTTGCGAGCTATGACCTGTACAGTACCTATGATGATATAATACCACCTACAGAGAAAGCTCTTGTGAAAATGGACACTCAGACAGCCCTTCCTTCTGGGTGTTATGGAAGAGTGGCTCCATGGTCTGGTTTGGCTGCAAAACACTTTCTAGATGTAGGAACTGGTGTCAGAGAGAAAGATTATAGTGTACATGTTGATCGTGTACTATTTAATTTTGGCAAAAAAAAGTTTGAAGTTGGTGGGGCGTGGTGGCTCAAGCTTGTAATCCCAGCACTTTGGGAGGCTGAGGTGGGTGGATCACTTGAGGTCAGGAGTTTGAGACCAGCCTGGCCAACATGGTGAAACCCTGTCTCTATTAAAAATACAAAAATTGGCCGAGTGTGGTTACGGGTGCCTGTAATCCCAGCTACTTGGGAGGCTGAGGCAAGTGGATTACTTGAACCCAGGAGGCAGAGGTTGCAGTGAGCTGAGATCGTGCCACTGTACTCCAGCCTGGGCAACAGAGTGAAACAATGTGTCAAAAAAAAAAAAAAGAAAAGAAAAAGAAAAAGAAAAGTTTGAAGTCAAAAAAGGTCATCAAATTGCATAGCTCATTTGTGAACTAAATTTTTTTAACCAGAAATAGAAGAAGTTTAAGATTTGGATGACACTGAAAGGGGTTCAGGAGGTTTTGGTTCCACTAGAAAGAATTAAAATTTATGCCAAGAATAGAAAATGAGAAATCATACCTGGTCTTAAAGAGTTTTTGCTTAAAGATTAAAAAAAAAAAAAAGGCAGGTGCAATGGCTCATGCCTGTAATCCCAGTGATATCTACAGGCGGCAGCCAAACACCTAGGCAGATAGGGGCAGGCACCCAGTGCAACCCCACCTCCAAGCTGAAGACAGTTTAAAGCCCAAAAGCTAAGCTACAAGTTAAATTCTCAGACTGAATTGAAAACTTGTCTTCCTGTTTGGCACATTTTCCTCTGATTAGTGCCCACCCTTCACCTATTTTACATACACCTACCATTTCCTAACTGGTTTTCTATACTGTCAGGCCCACCTTTGAGTGGTGCCTTGTTTTAACCTTTTTTGCATACTCACAAACCAATCAGCATGCATCATGTGCCTATGAAGACCCCAGACTCAGTCAGTAGAGGAGGAAATGGGTTGACTTCAGGGAAGAGACAACTTGATTTTGGGGAAGACAACCTGCCCCTTCACATCCTCTCTCCAGCTCCCTTCTCTGCTGAGAGTCGTTTCATCGCTCAATAAAATTCTTCTCCACCCTCTTCACCCTTCAATGTTCAGTGTATCCTCATTTTTCTTGGGTGCGGAACAAGAGCTTGGGAACCCTGAATGTGGTACAAGCTATAACACAGGTGAGCTGGGGCACGCCAGCATAGCCAAGTGAGGCCAGGATGGGGCATTCCCAGCCAGAGGTCCCTGGCTTGCAAAGTGACTAAGAAGAAAAATCCGACACCACCCAGCACTTTGGGAGGCTGAGGCAGGAGGATCACTTGAGTCTAGGAATTCAAGACCAGCCTGGCCAACATGGTGAAACACTGTCTCTACTAAACATACAAAAATTAACCAGGCGTGGTGGCGCATGCCTGTAATCCTAGCTACTCAAGAGGCTAATGTGGGAGAATCGCTTGAACCTGGAAGGTGGAGGTTGCTGGAAAGTGGAGGTTGCAGTGTGCCAAGATTCCACCACCGCACTCCAGCCTGGGCGACAGAATTAAAGACTCCATTTGAAAAAAAAAAGAAAAAGAGAATTTAAATTGTATTTCACTTACTTATTTATAATTTATAAGGCATCTTCTTTTAAAAACTTAAGATGGTCATGTACATTGGTAGTAAAGACTCCTGGCCACATGTTAACTAGTCTTTTTCTGTCTATCATCATCTCTAAACAGCAGAGTAGGTACACACAGCAGATACTCAAGATATACACTGATACAATGATAAGTACATAAATACAGGGTAAAGGTACAACTTAAGAGGCTAGAGGGACCAGGAGTGGTGGCTCACGCCTGCAATCTCAGCACTTTGGGAGGCTGAGGCGAGCAGATCACAAAGTCTCTTCTAAAAATACAAAAATTAGCTGGGCATGGTGGCGTGCACCTGTAATCCCAGCTACTCCGGAGGCTGAGGCAGGAGAATTGCTTGAACTGGGAGCCAAGATCGTGCCACTGCACTCCAGCCTGGGCTACAGAGCGAGACTCCGTCTCAAAACAAACAAACAAACAAACAAACAAACAAACAAACAAAAAACCAACAAACAAAAAAAGAGGCTAGAGAAAGACACTCAAAGAGGCCAGGGGCAAGATGTACATTTCATTAATTAATAAACCCTGAGTTCAAGTGTGGTGGCTCATGCCTGTAATCCTAACACTTTGGGAGGCCGAGGCAGGTGGATTGCCTGAGGTCATGAGTTCAAGACCAGCCTGGCCAACATGGTGAAATCCTGTCTATACTAAAAATACAAAAATTTGCCAGGTGTGGTGGCACATGGTCCCAGCTACATGGGAGAGTGAGGCAGGAGAATCATTTGAATCCAGGAGGCAGAGGTTGCAGTGAGCCAAGATTGCACCACTGCACTCCAGCCTGGGTGACACAGCGAAACTCAGTTTCAAAAAAAAAAAATAATAATAATAATAATAAAAAATTCTAAAACCAGAAGAGCTTCTGGTCCCAATACCTTACATGGTTATCATTTTGATGGTTCACCATTCATCTTTTCAATAATTTACTGACTGCCTACTACATACCAGGCAGGCACTGGGTGTGAAATGCTGAGCAAAATATGGAACTTAAGTGGTTTTTTTGGTAAACAACACCATCCCCCTGAATACACGGTGCCTTGGCCAAAGAGGGTCAATTAGAGTATTTGCCCGAGATTTTTCTGTGAGTGGAGATAACACTCACAGATGTCCCAGAGACTCAGGGTAAAGCTCTATCTACTTTTCCTAAAGGTTTCTCCAATTCTGTTAGTTACATCAGACTCTCTATGATAAATCATCTTTTATTGCTTAAGGCAGGTTAAGATGACTTCCTCTCAGCTATAACTAAGAAATTCTTACTAACATAATTTTTTCTTTTTGTTTTTTTGAGACAGAATCTCGCTCTGTTGCCCAGGCTGGAGTGCAGTGGTGTGATCCTGGCTCACTGCAACCTATGCCTCCCGGGTTCAAGGGATTCTCCTGCCTCAGCCTCCTGAGTAGCCGGGATTATAGGCATGTACCACCATGCCTGGCTGATTTTTGTATTTTTAGTAGAGATAGGGTTACGCCATGTTGACCAGGCTGGTTTCAGACTCCTGGTCTCAAGCAATCCACCCGCCTCGGCCTCCCAAAGTGCTGGGATTACAGGTGGAAGCCACCATGCCCAGCCCTTACTAACATAACTTTCAATATACATGTGAGACAGATGAAGCTTTGGGAAGTTCAAAGACTCACTTGCCCTGTCTCACAGGGAGGCAGTGGCAGATCTGCAAAAAGAGCCCAGGATCTCCTGACTCCCAAACTCTAGATGCATCATAGGTCCAAGTGAAAACAAGTTTTAGAAAAAGGAATCAAAATACAGTACCTCATGGACCACGGAGCCCAGCAGAAAGTCCAGCCTTTGGCACAGCTCCCCAAGGTTGGCCAAGCTGCTGGCCCTGTGAGCACCGTCAGGATCTCTCACTCCCCTCAGGAAGGTGTGGATCAAAGGTTCTCGGTACTTTGAGACCATGTCTCCTATAGGAAAAAGGAAGAAATCAAAACCCCTTAAAATCAAATTTCAACTTCTCAAAAAAGGAAGAATGATATTTCCGTGGTTCACTGCATGATGTCTTATTTTTTTTATTTTTGTTTTTATTTTTTTTGAGACAGGGACTTGCTGTGTCACCCAGACTGGAGTGCAGTGGCACGATCACAGCTCACTGCAGCCTTGACCTCCCAGGCTCTGGTGATTCTCCCATCTCAGTCTCCCAAATAGCTGGGACTACAGGTGCATGCCACCATGCCCAGCTAATTTTTGTATTTTTTGTAGAAATGGGGTTTCCCCATGTTGCCCAGGCTGGTCTTGAACTCCTGGGCTCAAGCAATCCATCTGCCTTGGCCTCCCAAAGTGCTGGGATTACAGGAGTGAGTCAATGCATGTGGCCAGTGTCTTATTCTTTTTAAATACTTGCATAACCATTAAAAATCGTGCTCCGGAAGAATATTCATGTTACGAAAAATATTCATGATGCATGGTTTTGTGAAAAAGCATGTAGAATCTCAATTTTATTCTCAAAAGTCTACATATAGAGATAAAATATGTGAAGATATTCCCCATAGTGTTACTAGCAGTTATTTTCAGAAAGTCTTATTATAGAAAACTTTAAAAATTTACATATACATACAAAAAATGTATATATCACAAGTATAGCTTAATAAACTTTCACAAACCCAGCCCAACTATAATTAGCCCATGGTCATAGAAATAACAAGTGTGGCCCCCAGGCTAGACCCTAGACCCCGATCATCAGCATACTTTTCCCTGTCTTACCCTGCTGTCTGCTCGGATAAGCAAACTGAGTGAAAAACAATCAAGGCACTTGGGTCCTGGAGAAAGAGAACTATGATTATTTGATAAATATTTATCGAGAGGCCTAGTATGTGCTAAGCATTGTTCCAGATGCTTGGTATATGCTGCGAAACAAGAGACCATGATTCCTGCCCTTCTGTAGCTTATATTCTAGTGTAAATTATATAGAATGTTAGAAGGTAATACATACTACAGGGGCAAAAAAAGTAAAACAGGTAAGGGAAATAAGGAATAATGGGAATGGTGGCCAACTTCAGGTTTTAAAAAGGTGGTAAAGGTAGGTTTCATTGAGAAGGTTTAACAAAGACATTTAAACAAAGACTGGAAGGTGAGTGTATCAGTCATGTGCATTTCTGGGAGAAGAGCATACCAGGAAGAGGGAACGGCCAGTGTGAAAACCCTGTAGAGAAGCACGCCTGGCATGTCTGAGAACACCAAGGAAGCTCTAGATAAGGCTAGAGAAGTAAGGGCAGGGATGGGGAGGTGGGGTAGATCATGAAGGGCCTTGCAGGACACTGCAAGGACTTGAACTTTTTCTCAGAGTAAAATAAGAGGCCTTTGGAGGATTTTGAGCAAAAGAGTGCAAAAAGATCACACTGGTTGCAGTGCTGAGAACACACTGGTGGGCACTGTGTATGTCCAGGGTGGAAGAAGGTCCAAGGTAGAAACCTACTACAGTAAGTGGCTGGAGAGACAATGGTGACTTGAACAGTAGAGGTGGTGATAAGAAGATTCTGCATATATATATATATACACACACACACACACACACACACACATACATAAATACATATATATAGAGGGGGGTGGGTCTTGTTCTGTCACCCAGCTGGAGTGATCACAGCTCACTGTAGCCTCAATCTTCTGGGCTCAAGTGATCCTCTCACCTCAGCCTCCAGAGCAGCTGGGACCACAGGTGTATACCATCGCGCCCGACTAATTTTTTGACTTTTTTGTAGAAACAGGGTCTCACTATGTTGCCCAGGCTGGTCTTGAACTCCTAAACTCAAGTGATCCTCCTGCCTCTACCTCCCAAAGTACTGGGATTACTGGTGCGAGCCACTATGTCTAGCCAGACCCTGCATATATTTTGAAGATAGAGCCAACATGACTTCCTGATGACTCCAAGAATGACTTCTAGGATTTTTGCTTTTGAGACTGGGAGGATGAAGTTACTATTAACTGAGATGGTAAAGTCTCTAATTGAGGCGGGAGGAAGGATCAGGGTTCAGTTTTAGACATGTTAAGTAGGTAGTTGAAGATTTATATGTATAGAGTTCAGGAGCAGTCTGGGCTAGAGATAAATACTTTGGAATCAGTGGAATATAGATTACATTTAAAGCCTTGAGACTATGAGACATGATTACCAAGAGAGGGAGTGTAGGCAGGGAAGAAGACCAAGGGCCCTTCAACATTAAGAGGTCTAAGAAGGGAGGAACCAGCAAAGGAGACTGAAAAGGAATAACCAGTCAGGTAGGAGGAAAATTGGAGTAATATCCTAGAAATTAAGGGAGAAAAGTATAACAGAGAGGAGGCAATAGTCAACTGCATCAAAAGCTGGTCATACATCAGGTAGAAAGAAGACTAGAAGTTGACAATTAGATTGAGTAAAAATGAAGTCACTGTTGACCTTGACAAGAATGGTCCTGACAGACTGATGGGGGTGAAAGCATGACAAGAGTAGATTTAAGTCAGAATGGGAGAAGAAGAACAGAAAACAGAGAGATCACTTCAGGAGGTTTTTGCAAAGCAGATGAAAGAAACAGGGTGATAGTCAAGGAAGTGGGGTCAAGAGAAGATTTTTATTTTATTTTTAATTTAATTTAATTTTATCTAATTTTATTTTATTTTATTTTTGAGACAGAGTCTCGCTCTGTCACCCAGGTTGGAGTGCAGTGGTATGACCTTGGCTCACTGCAAACTCTGCCTCCCAGGTTCAAGTGATTCTCCTGCCTCAGCCTCCAAGTAGCTGGGATTATAGGTGCATGCCACCATATCTGGCTAACTTTTGTATTTTAAGTAGAGACGGAGGGTTTCTCCATGTTGGCCAGGCTGGTGTCGAACTCCTGACCTCAGATGATCCACCCACCTTGGCCTCCCAAAGTGCTGGGATTACAGACGTGAGCCACCGTGCCCAGTCTTTATTTTGTTTTTAAAGAGCGTAGAAATAGCAGCATGCTAGGACATTCTGAATTGAATGTCTTTAATGTATGTATTTCTATATATGGAAGCAATGTCTTCCCCCATTGGTGTACCAAGAACCAAGTCTATTTTGGCTTGATCTTGGTTCTGAGGTCCTAATTCCAGAGCCCAGGTATAAAACATTCGCCTTTGGCCCTAAAGATATATAATATCTATAAGGTGACAAAATGTTTTCTGAAACATTTGTTTAAATTCACCTTTTTTTTTTTTTTTTTTTTTTTTGAGATGAGGTCTTGCTCTGTCACCCAGGCTGAAGTGTAGTGGTGCTGTCATAAGTCGTTTGCAGCCTCAAACTCCTGGGTCAAGTGATCCTAATGCCTCAGCCTCCCAAGTAGCTGGGAATATAGGCACATGCCATTACTCTTGGCTATTTTATTTTATTTTATTTCATTTCACTTTTATTTTTATTTTTTTTTTGAGACAGAGTCTCGCTCTTTCGCCCAGGCTGGAGTGCAGTGGCGTGATCTCCGCTCACTGCAAGCTCTGCTGCCTCCCGGGTTCATGCCATTCTCCTGCCTCAGCCTCCCTAGAAGCTGGGACTACAGGCACCTGCCACCATGCCTGGCTAATTTTTTTGTATTTTTAGTAGAGACGGGGTTTCACCGTGTTCGCCAGGATGGTCTCGATCTCCTGACCTTATGATTCGCCAGCCTCGGCCTCCCAGAGTGCTGGGATTACAGGCGTGAGCCACAGCGCCCGGCCTTGATTTTATTTTTTTGCAGAGGCAGAGAGTCTCACTTTGTTGCCCAGGCTGGTCTTGAACTCCTGGTTTCAAGCGATCCTCCTGCCTTGGCCTCCCAAGTGCTAGGATTAGAAGCATGAAGTCACCTATTTTTAATCACCAAAATGATGACCTATATTGATAAATCACTGGCCTGTCCTACCAGGCCCAGCTCAAATGCCACTTTCTTTGTGGAACCTGCCTCTTCCCCTCAGTGAGCTTCACTTAGTCCTCCTTGAAAGTCTCACAATACTTTGTGCTTAAGTCGCTTTGACTTAAATCACATTTGTCACTCATGGCTTGGTTCCTAAATGTTTTAAGCCTGTATCTATTTCTCCCATAAGACTATAAATTCCTTGAGGGTAGAACTTTGACTCCTTCATCTCTGATCCCATCAGGTCTTAGCAGTCTTTGCACATACAGTCATGAGCTGCGTAACAATGCTTCGGTCAATGATGGCCTGAATATACAACAGTGGTCCCATCAGATTATAGGGCAGCATACATTTAGAAACCTGATGTGATATTGGCATTGCAGATCAAGTTGGGGAAATAATTAGCATTCAGCAATGGTGCTGGGACATTTGATTTTCTGTATTACAAAATATATGTAAATAAAATATCATCTAGGTTTGTGTAGGTACATTCTATGATGTTTGTACAATGACAAAATCACCTAACTACACATTTCTCAGAACATATTCCCATTGTTAAGCAATGCATGACTGTACTAGGTACAGGAAATGGTAATATTGAATTGAATTCATTAATTTATTTAACAAGACATAATTATGTACTAGGTATCATGCTAATATTCTAGGAATACAATAATTGATGAAAAGTTCTTTTTACCCTTTAAGAAGCCCAAAGTAGGCCGGGCACAGTGGCTCATGCCTATAATCTCAGCACTTTGGGAGGCTGAGGCGGGGGGATTGCTTGAGCCCGGAGTTCGAGACCAGCCTGGGCAACATAGGGATACTTTGTCTCTACAAAACTAAACTAAACTAAATTAAAATAAAATAAAATAAGGAGAAAAGAAGATGCCCAAAGTTTAAGGAGTACATATAAACAGATAAGTACCGACAATTATAGAACTGTGTAGCAAATGCTGTCATAGAGCCAAGCAGAGGTTGCTCAAAAGCATTATTTTGCTAGTCTCAGTCCCTTGGAAGGAAGAGGACGAGGAAGTTTTTTGTTTTTTTTTCTCGTTTTGGTTTTTGTTTTCCCCTCAAGGTCCAAAACA